CACTCACCTCAGCCTCCCAAGGCATGGGATTACAGGCTGAGCCACCGAGCCCGGCTTGGACCTCTTCAATTAGGGCACCATCAAGATGGATTTTTCCCTTATAAGTTGATGAGGACAGGCTGCCGCTGCAGGCTTCATCTTCAACATCTTCTCGTCCCTTCTTAAAACAATGTGTCCATTTGTAAAATGTGGATTTGGGGGGCATTGCTCCCATATACTTTCTATAAAGCATCAATTACTTCACCAGTCTTCCATCCTAGCTTCACCATCAATTTGATGTTGTTCTTGCTTCAATTTTAGCAGTATTTGTATTGCTCAAAAAGGGACACTGTTCAAACTGATGTCTTATCCTTCTTAGCACCTCAAATTAGATTCTGTTCAGAGATGTTATAACAAGTTCATAAGAGTTTATTTTGGTGCAAAAAAAACGTTGAAATCCATGCATTTTTTTTTCATAATTCTCATATGCCATGAACTTTTGGAAGACCCTTTTTGTGTTCACCCTTTGGGTGGCTTCTTTCACTTAGTATGATGTTTTCAAGGTTCATCTATGTTGTAGCATGTATCACTATCTCATTCTTTTTTTATAGCCTAGCAATACTCAATTGCATGAATATACCACATTCAGTTTATTCATTCATAAGTTGAAAGACATTTGGGTTGTTTCCCATTTTTTGGCTACTCTAAATAATCCTGCTATGAACATTCATGTCTAAGTTTTACATGAATATATATTTTCATTTCTCGGGTAGATAACTAGTAGTGAAATGTCAAGGTCATACAGTCATGCTAGCATTTTGAGGAACTGACAAACTGTTCAATGCAGCAGTCACATTTGCTTATTTTTGGCAAAAATCAAAAAGAGAGAGAGAGCAATCCTAAAAGGATAAGTTAGAAACTAATTTTTAAAAATACTTACCTACAAGCTGGGCTCGGTGTTTCCGCCTGTAATCCCAGCGTTTTGGGAGGCTGAGATGAGTGGATTGCCCGAGCCCATGGGTTTGAGACCCGCCTGGGCAACTTGGCGAGACCTCATCTCTACAATAAATCAAAAATTAGCCAGGCGTGGTAGCGCGTGCCTGTGGTTCTGGCTACTTGGAAGGCTGAGGTGGAAGGATTGCAGGAGCCCAGCAGGTCGAAGCTGCGGTGGCCGGGAGCATGCCACTGTACTCCAGTCTGGGTGACAGAGTGAGACTCCAAC